TTTATTATTACTCGTATTATTTCTCTCGAATAAACAGCCCTAATGTGGTGTGAAAGAGCAAAAAAATATATTTTATAATATCAAACATACCTTCTGCACTTTTTGTACTTGGTCCTCCATGAAAAATTACCTGTGGAGGAATAAAAACAAAACAAACTTTTACTTTTTAAACTAAGGATTGAAAGATGCTCTGTTACACTTTGCAAAAATTTTACAAAAACAATGATTTTTGAACTTCACTGTTCTACTTATTTTCTGTTTTGGTAGTCCAATTCATGTAGACAGAAGTACCCACATTTCAGATGAGTTCAGGGGATTATAGTTGCTGATAGTCAATGATAGACTATCTTCAATGATCAGAATTGATTGGCCCAGGGCTTAAAGACTTCCATGATACAGCATATAATAGTCACCCAACAGAAAAAGTAAGACACCGGGAGCCATCAGGCACTGCTAGACCACAGCCCTGAGTAGGGTAGTGATGGATTGTAGTTAAAAGTTTGAGAAAAGGATAAGATTTCATTTTCAAATTAACCAATCCAGCTACCTAGTTCTGACTTTTTGTAAAAACCCTTAAGAAGACATCAGTGTTCAGAACAAAAAGAACAGTTACACCTTATTGCTGCCTTTTAATAAAACCACTACCTTCCAATGGGAGCTGAGGCCGGTCTGAAATTAAATCTCTCTACAGTCTTCAGGACTCAAAAAGAACCTGAATTCCAGCTTGTCCTTTGGGCAAGCAGCTCTCACATTTTGCTTGCCTGGCCAGGGCAACCTCTTGCAACTTGTCTAAGCTGATTATTTAGTTAGAGGATGACTTCCCTGCAGGAACCTTGCTTATTGGGTAACTGGGTTTTAAAAGTAACTTGCCCAGCAAGAAAATCCACTGGTCTTGCACTACTGAACGAGACATTTTTCGAGCCTTACCCTGCAAGCAGAGGCCTCCTTTTTACAATATATGCTGATCTGTTAGAAGTAACCTCTACCAACATTAAACCATCTAGTTTCTATAGTGTATCATGGATGCTTGAGTTTTATCTTGCAATTTTAGAATGAAATGGCATGTACTCTGAATTACGCTTTTTTATGTTCTCAAATATGCACCAATTTTATCTGCTACAAGTAGTTGTGAATGTAGTAGTGGTTTTCTACCTACTGTTTTAAACACAAACTGCAGCAGGAATGATCAAATGGGAATGGATGGTTGTCAAAAAGGGATACTTTTTGCATGTTAGTACATACTGCAAAGAGTTATAGCCCCTGTGTGATGAGAGTGAAAATCTATTGGGTCTTAACATGTCTTTAAAACTGTAACACAACCCAATGAACACATTAAGTCTTTTTTCAAAAACAGTGTATTATTATCAATATTTTAATTTACTATACCTTATTCTCATTGGATTCTACAACCAAGTTGTGGTCTTTAAAGGTTCCAGCTTGATTCTTGTACAAAGTAATTGAGTTCATGTCACTTGAGCATGGCCATCGAACCATTTTATTCTCAAAAAAGGATAAGCACTTCATACCATCCTTGTTTATTTGCAGGACATTATACAACAAGGCAAGCATCTAAAGCCCAAAAAACATTTGTTGTAATTGCATTGAAATGATTTTGCAAGCAACAGTGTCTAAATCTTTATGTACATACTGTATTCAAGGTATCATAAAAATGAAAATACAGAAATGACACCCCAAAAAGGAAGTTTTTTGCACTTTTCACAAACATGCGAATTCTGAAGTTCCAAAGCCAACTCACGATTTCGTTTTTCACTGCCGTCAATCATCTTAATGGACCTCTTAGGAAGCAAAACTTTACTTTAACGGGTTCAAAAGGTCCTGGTTTGTGATTTATGATTGTTAGATTTCAATCCGTTTTGTGTGTTTCTGTGTTTCAAGGTTCTTTGCTTGAGATCGTAATATTATTATGATTGACAGCAGCGAAAAACCCAATTGTGAAGGCGGCTTTTGAACTTTACAGTTTGCATGTTCGTGAAAGGTGCAGTAAAGAGGTGGACCCTATATGAATTAACTTCCTAAAAAATAAAAATTAAAAAATCAAAACATTATCTAAGAGGAATAAAAATTCACAACGAAAAAGAAATGAAATTACAAAAGTATAAACATGTATGAGTTAATATTAGCCTTAAAACATCTTAAATTTCCAGCCTCCACAATGTAGCGGGGCAAATTGTTCCATTCACGCACGATTCTAACAAAGAAAGAGTATTTATAACAGTTACAATTTGCCCATTTTTACTTGTAACTTGTAGCTGTGATTGGATCTGGTAACCTTGGAAGCAAGCTCAAAGCAATCACAAAAACAGAGATTACTTAATTCAAATACAGTTACGTGAACATTAAGTTCATTTAATAACGTCTTAGTTTTGCTTCGCGTTATTTTCCTCACTTATATATGTGTTGTCCGCTACTGTGATCACACGGTGGGTGGCTTCTCCTAAAATGTTCTGGAATTCGTATAGGATTTAATGGAGCCGAAACCAATTGTGGAATTGCATGCATTTTAGGCATCCTACTGATGAACAGTTGGGACATGTAGATATATTTTTAGCGACTACCATAATTTGCAGTCTGTCTACTTTGAATTCAATCAAGGAACAGTATAATCTCCTATCACTCAGCAACAACCAACACACGGCTTCACAACAGTCTTTGAAGGCATTTCACCCCTTTGCTGACCTAAAGCCAACTGTGACACCTTCCTCAGCACTTTTTCTAAATGGACAATGTCTTTGACTAGAAACAGACTCCATACAGGTGATAGGCCGGGGTACTCCTGATACATGTAAAACAGGAGTTCAGACAAGCATGTACCACACAGGACAAACTTTACTTTAAGTCTTAAGTCTACTTACCACAAGATTTACAATCACAATAAGAGTTAAAATATATAAAACAGCAAAGAATATCCAGCTCTTTCTTCCTCGTATTCCAGTCCTGTGAAGATAACGTTCCTGAACATTGACACGACCAGCTGTAAAGTTGCTTTCATGTTCATCTACTGCCTTTTGCTTCTCTACAAGCTTTTCTCGCATAGATGTGCGAGATTTGGTATTCTCTCGTCTCTAAGTAAATAAAAGGTTATTATTAGGCCAAATTAGCTTTTGAAAGTACCTATCTATTTTCACTGTTCAAGAGGCAAAAAGTAAAAGAGCAAAGTACAAATTTATATATTTCCTCACCAGTTAAATTAAAACATACATGAGAAAGACTACTGTATGAGAGACTGAAATAGTTTAGCTTTACAGATAACCGGAATATTATTGACGTGTATGGAAGTGAATAGCTGCTTAATGAAAAAGGGACAGTAATAAATGCCACTTTATAAGTCCATCAAGCTAAGAATAACCAATAAAATGAAGCTCTTAAAATTTCAACAACTCACTATGCAGATAGGAGTTATTAAAAATTTTATTATGTAAAGTTGAAGGAAATTTACTTTACAAGAAAGAAAAAATCACCACATACTTTTTCAGATCTACTACATGTACATCATGTAAATGTGTCAAAGTCTATTTTGTTTTAAGAACCAATATCCTCTAATACACTCCCTCAAATTCAGCAAGTCAAATGTCGAAGGAATGAGAAAATGTCTGATATTGGAACACTGATGAGGCAGCCAATCTGTCCATTATACACTAACATAACAATACTGAACAACATTTAATCAATATTTTGTTAAGCTGGAGTAATTTAAGAACAATTATCCATTATATCAACATACCGGTATCATTCAAAATGCAATAATGAGAATCCCCTTTCACTTGAGGGTAGTAAAGGTTTTCCATTTACCCATAAAAGACTTATTATTCACCATGAATCGTGAAATGACCATTTTTCTCACTTGAACGAGGTTTTGGTTACATAGGATTGTTCTTATGGACATGCAAAATATGGTAAAAACAGTTTATACTACACTAAATCTTGCTCATAACAAGTGCCATTTTTAGCATCTATGCCACAATGTAGTACAGCTCGCTAAAGCTTGCCACACAAAGAATTGGTTCAAAAGGGTCTGAAAGATGGCGAGTTTAAGTCTTATTTTCAAAGAGCGTACACAATCCTTGGCTGCAGTTTAGCCGAGCAAGGCCTAGGAAAATTATTCATCATCATATTATACGGTAACAGTTTTGACAAACAGTTTAACAAAAAGCGCCAAGCAGATCGTCATTCCCAAACTGAAGTTCCCCAAGTAAGCTTATTGTTCCCTCGTGAAAGCAGTTTTATATGGGTGCTGAACGCGGTTCCATTTCAATCTAGGTTTCCAATCAGTACATATTAACTCAAGCTTAACCTCCCTTAATTAATCTTCTCTAAACTATTACTTACGTGTAAGTTTTCTCTGGACATGACAGTTTTTGCCCTTGGACTTAAACTGAAGTATTGAAATTACAGATACGTTAAAGACATCTGATCTCGCTCCGACGAAGCACAACTAGTAAACAGATAAAGAAGAAAATGAAGATAAATGTCAACAGATGTTTGAGCATGCGTTCCTTTAGGTGCAGTTAGCATGGGACATTGCGGGCGTACCCAGCGTACCCCAAGCGTGGTGAGTCTTCATGCTTTCGGGGTAGCCTGTCTTACCGTGAAATCTGTTATCTATTCTGTCACATGTGATTCAGTACATTATATTATATAAAGATGATGAGACATATTTTACTTGTTAATAGAAATAGTTATAATGACAATTCCACATTTCGTACTCTCCGTCACGCAATTACTCCCCACAACGTGCTACATATTCCACAGGATTCTGATGATCAAGAATCAACCCACTAGAAAGTTTTCTTACCCAAAACTCTTCACCGCCTTCATCCGACCTCACTGGGCTCTGCTTGTGGTCACAATAAATACAGCAACAGAATAAACTTAATAAAAAAATTCAAGTTCCCAGTCTGCTCGAGCTCAGTGCGGTCATTTCTCGCGCGCAAATCAGTTAGGGGTCAAGTACGTCATCACAAAGGAATTTGAGTTGTATTATAATTGAATTGTGGGAAAAACAACCTCGTCTTGTTGGTTACGAAAAAGCGAAAGATGTCAAACATTTCGGAGGGAAAGAAGCGATATTCAAACATCTGTAACAATATATTTTCATATACAACTATGTGAATAGATACTTCTGGATCTCCCGCAGTGATATTTATCCTGCTAAGACAACTGCTTCCTGGAGGTATTATACAAGAATGAAGATGAATTTTTGTATCTGGGTAGGCATCATCCACGCTATCCTAACGGCAACGCAGCCCAAAGATGAATTATTTAGGAAGGCCCAGCCATGTTCGTTAATCTCAGATGAATAAGTACGAAGTCCTTGGAATTGTAGGCGAAGGTATGCTCTCTTTGAATTAGTGTGTTATTGCAGGCATGGTAATGAATATGAAATTGGGTTAGGCTAGGTGTAATTTTAATGTAATCACGTAAACGTCTTTTTGAGCTTAGTTTATTATGTTTTGTGTGCAGAAACTAAGAGTGTAGCTTGGTGATTCAAATCTGAGCTTCTTTTTTGTCATCCTTAGGAGCCTATGGAGTCGTTTTAAGATGCAGACATAAGGTAACTATATGAAGCCTTTATTATCTGTTTTGTGTTGAAAATCACAGCCAGCTTTTCATGTTTTATCTGATGCACGAGTTCACACAGAAAGGATCAGTGTGCATTTTAGTCATTTATCGGTGTTTTCGTTTTTCTCTTGCCTCGATCATTTCGAAACTCGGTGACCAATTCGATGCTCAGGCCAGACTAGACTACAACACATCACTTGTCTGCACGATAGCAAAGCTCAGATTATGTCGTCAAATTGTTTACATGATTGATGTCATGGTTCATTTGCTACAATAACATGATGATAGGTGAGAGCTTTAAACTTCCGAACTGTCAACGTACGATACTCCTTTATTTTTATACTTAGGGCCATGGGAAGTGTTAACTCATTTGTAATATTATTCATGACCCTTGATCGATCGATCTAGTCAGTAATAGATCTGTTAAGTTTCCTTAGTTTTTGAGGCAACAATTCCCAGACGTTACTTTGTAGCAAGTGGAAACTTGTAGTGGAGTCCATATGTAACATTTTAGGCTTTATACACATGTAAAATTCGTTATTCTCAGTTGATTATCATTTTCCTTTGTCCCCTGGTCCTAAATATACTTTAATTAGTGCTAGGAGACAGAGGAAAACATTTGTGAAGTGATCAGTTTTGGGGTGACTATGAAGAGAGAAAATATATTACTTTTTTTTTCCCAGTAGTCCTGGCCTTGATCGAGGGAAAGTTTAACATCATTTTCACTATTTTTTGGTGTGTGCTTTTACCGGACATGCCATGAGAAACAACAAACTATCTGCATTGTTGTGCTTATTCTTGTTGAAGTGCTTACATGACCTTTTTTAGAATGAAAATCATGTTTCAAGTTTCAACTTCATGTTTGTGTCCCCAGGAGAAGGTTTACTAGCAAAAGAAATAAGAAGAGGGATACTAACTTTTTGTGTGTGTATTGTCAGCAAAGGGTATATTTTAGCATTTTGGTCTGAAATTGGGTAAAGATATAAACTTTTGAAGAGTAAGGATTGTAGAGGAAGGATTGCAATTATTGGTTTGGTTAACATCCGTATCTGTACTAAGTTTCTGTTTATTTGTTTTCTCAAGGAAACAAATGAGATAGTGGCCATCAAGAAGTTTAAAGATAGTGAAGGTAAACACATAGTTAAACCAATTTGCATTTGGTTCAAAATTATGTTTTTTAATTGTAGTGGTGAATTCAATAGGCGTTATCGCAGGTTTGGAAGCCATCTTGATGAGTAGGCAACTGCGTGGGAAATTACAGTGTTTGTATAAGTATCTAATGTCAAATAATATCCGTAAACGGCTGTTCTGAAAAAAATATGAACTAAAGCTGCACAGGAAAGGATTTTACTTACAAATTTTGTGGGCCGTTACTGTGCTTAGATTTCTCCAGATGCTTGCTTTAGATTTTCCATAAATTTGTCTGCAATTTTTCACGGGAAATTTTAGACGGCAGTAAGAAACATTTTTACAGACAAATGTATAGAAAATTTTAAAAAGTGGTTCTAGCGTTAGGAGTGAATCTTTAGTTTACAATTCATATTTTTTTCAGAACAGCCATGTTACAGAAGTTATTTGACATTAGATTCTCATACAAACACTGTAATTTCTCATGCGGTTGCCTACTTGCCAAGATGGCTTCCAAAACGGTGATAAGGCCTATTGAATTGAAGTTGAGCTCTGAATATGCTGTCAACTTGATTCTGCCAATTCACCTGGTATTTAGTTTTAAAAAAACCGAGCCTGGCAGCTGGTATATCAGAGGATAAAGCCAAAGACTGATCTATTCTCTAAAAGTTGAAAAATTGACAGAAAGGAGAAGCTTCTAGGGCAACTAAATTTTGAGGAAAATCTTTAAAAGGTATGTTTCTCTAATACATCAGCAAGCCAGAGAGGGGTTTATTAATTTCATTTTTTTAGCCCAAATACACTTGTAGGGGTGAATAAGTTGAGAAAAAGAGAAAAAAAGCCACTGGTGGTGGTAAAACTGTGTTTGTTGATTACAATAACAGTAATGGTACATTGACTGGTTTATTTGTATTTATTTTAACTGTGACAGGGTGTGTTTTGAAATTTGAAGCAAGTTTTTGTGCTTGAAATGTACAAAAAGAAACAGCAAACAAAATTGAAGTTGAAATTTTCAAGTTGATTGGTCAGAAGCAGAAAAGCAGGGAGATCCTTCAAAGTATTATCTTCAGTTTCATTGACCTGTTTTAATTGTTTATCTCCAAATATGGAGCCAGGTTTTCTATGTTGAGAGCCCAGAAAAGAGAAACAGAAATAAAGGCCCAATAACTGAAAGATCTCATCATATTATATTGTCCTCCAACATTAGGCCACTTCCAAGTTCCAAAAACCCTCACTTCTAAAATGAGGCCAAGTGCACAACCTTTCTTGTGAAAAAGAGTTTTATTTGTATAGGTAATAGCATGATTTGTAGTGATATTTGGCGTAAATACCTCAAGTGATATTTCGAAATAGTTGTACCTAATTTCACGAGCCGCAAGGCGAGTGAAATTTGAGACAATTTTGAAATATCACAAGTGGTATTTATGCCAAATATCACGTACAAATCATGCTATTATTTGTTTATACTACTACCCACAAAAGGTTTGTAATTTTCACATGTAGGTATTTCAAATTAAGCTGAAATACCACTGCTCTAAGCCAATTAAATTGCAGAAATTTCTCGTGTAGTAGTATAAACAAGAGAATGAAAAATCATTTCCACATCAAAGGCTGAGCACTTAACCTCGTTTTGATACAGAGGCCCAGGGGAACTTGAAAATGGCCTAATATGTAATGCTTCCACTTAACTCTAAAGTGCCTCAATGTACATGATATTTCCAATGGCCCCCCTTTATTCAAGAGTACACTAAACACTGGACAAAAAGGTTATTCCTAACTGTCTCTTGGGACCCAATACCTGGGAATAGCACGCTTTTTGGTGCATTTCTTTTCCGTCGATTTCACAGGAATCTCAAAATGGTTGCATGGGAGAGGGAGTGCCTGCCCAAAAGTTGTTTCCAGTCCCCATTCCAATTATCTAGTGGCCGCTGTGTGATCTGTCAAAAATTTGACAGAAAACTATTCAGATCAAACTTCACAAATAGCTAAATAAATAGCTAATATATTGTTCTCTGAGATTGCAAAATCACAACTTTACAGACACCAAAGATCACAGTGTACATGGGAAATGACCATTGCTTTTGTGCAAAGTGAAAGCAGACATGTCTTACTAAAATGGCTCTAAAGTTCAGGAAGCAAACTGTACTGCCAGAGATGTTTTTATAAGCTACCATAATGAGACATAATAGCATCAGTCGTACAGTCACATTTGATCCAATAATGTCAATAACGAAAGGTTTTTTGAAATTCATGCCCCTAGTAAGGCCCTGTTCACAAGGAGGGAGGGTAACCCTGGTGCTAGGGTTACCCTAACACTTGCATATTTCTTCTTTTTTCACACAACATATTTTCAAGGCAGGTAGTGTTACCCTACCTGTCTTGCAAACACTCAGCTAGGGATAACGCGAATACCCAGGGTAACTTTCTGCCATCATGCCAATTTGAATGGTATGATCCAATTTCTGAGCTTAATTTATTATAAACATCTGAAAAATAAAAAGTTATTTTCTGTCTACGATGATAACATTTTCCCTTTTTTTCGTGAATTTAATGTGTTTTCCGTAGAGAATTTCCAGATTATTTCAAATTTTGGACCGTTACAAAGAATGTCACGCATGACGAAACACGTCAGCAAAGTTGTTGCAAAGTTGTTGCAAAGTTGACCTGGGTGATGGGGTAACCCTAACTATGAAATTTGCTTGTAAACCAGAGCTATAAGTTTAACCCGCTTGCTAGGGTAGCCCTATAGCTAGCACAAGGGTAACCCTCTTTCCTTGTAAACTGGCCCTAAGTGTTTCATTTCATCAATCCTGTCCAGGTCTTGATGGTATGCTTTCCATCGACAATGCAAACCACCAAGTTCTTTTTGAACAGAGAATATTTCCTCTGATCTTGATTTCAACGATTCGACCAATCTTTTGTTGGTGTCCACTTCTGCTGATGGGCATTTGATGTCAAATCATTCCTTTGTGAATACTGTTTGAACTCTCCAAGTTTTCTTTGGGATTACAGCCACATATAGTCCCACTGAATTAGTAACCTCCAAGATCTGATCTTTGATTATAACAGTTAGTGATTTAATTATGAGACTTTCACTGCCTTTTATTGTACATACATACATGTTTACAAACAATCTCCTGTTTCCTTTGATTGACAGTTTTCTTGCCCAACGCGAATGTTTATCCACTTGGGAATCTTTTAACCAATAGGAATTTTCTGCACTCTCGGAAAGCAAGTAAAAACGATTTTCATGGTCCTCTTGGGCAAGCACTCCCTCTCCCCTCACATGTCTCCCTCGTGCACCCCTTTCTTTCATGTGTCTGCTACTTCCAAGCACCTGCTATGTAAGCTAGCAAGAGATATGCATCTTCAGCGGATATGTATCTTCATCTTCAGCTTTTGCCTATTGGAGTACCCCAAGGCAGTATATTGGGACCTTTATTGTATTTAATTTATGTGAATGATCTTCCTGACTGTCATCTGGCAAGCGATATTATTCTTTATGCGGACAATACTGTACTCTATTACTCATCCAAAAGCGTCAGTGATCTTGAACATCACATCAATGCTGACTTGGGGACAGTGTCTGAGTAGTTCTCTAGAAATCTCCTGACATTAAATGTATCCAAATGTAATTTTGTTATCTTTGGAAGTCCTCAGAAACTGAATCGTATTCAAGGCATTTCGGTTAAAGTAGAGGGCACTAATATTGAAAGAACACAATCATTCAAATACCTAGGCGTAACGCTTCAACAGTCTATGTCCTGGGCAGATCATGTCGATGTTATCAGCATGAAGATTAATCAGAGAATAGGCCTAATGAGAAGAATCAGGAATCTATTGCCGCTACAAGCTAGAGTTGCCTTGTACAATGCCCTAATCCTCCCTCTTTTTGATTACGGAGACGTTATATGGGGGGACAAGAACAATGAGACCATCATGTCAGAATTACAGATTATACAGAATAAAGCTGCTAAAGTTATGCTGGGGCAACCACCCTGAAGCTCATCAACTGAAGCACTGAAGAGTCTAGATCTGAAGTCACTGTCCACAAGAAGGTTTTTTCATCGCTGCATTGCAATCCACAAGTGTCTTATCGGAGAAACTGATTTCAACTTTAATTTTACTAAAACTCAAGCTGTTCATTCATGTAATACAAGACGCTCTAATGATATTCGCTTACCCCTACCCAGAACTAACTGGGGTAAACAAACTTTTATTTTTCATGCCGCGAATGACTGGAACAGCCTTCCAAATGATTTAAAAGAGTGTAATATTTTATCTATTTTTAAATCCAAGTTAGAAACTTTTTTAAAAGATCTTAGCTAATTTTAAACCTTGATAGTTTTTGTATAATCTATTTGAAGATTTTAAATTTTTATATTTGTTTTACTTGTAAACATATTTTACTTTTTTCTTAACAATTAATTAATTAGTTAGATTAATGCATGAGGGCCCCACTGAAAACTGCCTTGGCGAGTTGGGCTCCCTCTATAAATATTATTATTATTATTATTATTATTATTATTATTATTGTTATTATTATTATCATTATTCAGCGGTGTCCAGACCCTTGTCAGAGTAGGGCTGGTTTTGTAAGGTTGGTTTTGTAAAGTTGGCAACCACTTTTATTTTTTACCATGTGGTGACCAAAAATTGTTATTTTGTTGCCAGATGGTACCCATATCAAAAAAATTAATTTCAGACCCTGTTCAGTTTAATTTCATTTCCCCTTATAACATGACATATTTCAGTTAAGATATATCTCTTTGTTCATGAAGTAGAACACAATATCAGCTCCTGGAGCTTTAAATTGACTCTAACTTACGAAAGGGTTGGCAAGGAACAGGTTTTTTATTTATCTATGATTTGACTTTCTGTTAGAAAATGAGGATGTTAAGAGGACCACTTTAAGAGAATTAAAGGTACTTCGCATGCTGAAACAAGAGAACATTGTGGAATTAAGGTTTGTTATAAATAGATATATATCTTTAATTTAATTGGATGGTTTAGTGTGTAGTATTATGGGATATTTTTATGAGCCATGCCGTATTTTGGCAAGCCCATAGGGTGAGTCAAAATACAAGAGACGATTAGAAATATCCCACGATACTGTTTCTCCTTAGGTTCCTAAATTTTCTCAGTCCTCTTCCTAAAAAAGTCCAGAGTTCCCAATGAAAAAATCCCGTAAAAAAAGACAAACATCCACACAAGATTTTTTTTCTATGGCGTAAGCGCTCCTCCCCTAAATCCGGGGACTTTTATTTGAAACTGTCAATCAATCTTCCCGCGCGTAATGTAATTTCCGGTAAAAATGCACTTCCGGTTCGCTCTTACAAACAGTTGTTTTAGAAAAAAGGCACAAGAAATAATCCTTAACATTTTCCCCCTCCTGGATTTACATTTGACTGAAAATCCAACACTTCAATCGATCTCTTTTACAAACATAACCAAATTGTTCAAATGTTCCAATAACTGTTCAAATGTTAAAATTCAAATGTTCAAATGTCAAATATTAAAAGGTTCAATCTCTCAGATTTAGACTTAAAAGTCTCTGTCTGACTAAACAAATCATGAACTGTTCAACTGTTCCTACAAGTGTTCATGATGCAAATCTTTACGACTATAGCTAGTTAGTTCACTGTTCCGTCCGGTCACTTAGTAATCTTCAAATTCCAACGGTGAAATTCTGGAAATTGGTCTTCGTTTCACCCCTCCTTTGGTTCTAACGTCTACGACTCGTACTAGTCCATACATTAGCTATACGGGTATGTGCCGCCCAATGGGGTCGTGATTTTGAAGCTCCTAATTTAGAACGGGGTATCCATTTCAGAGGCGTTTTCTGGAACGGGGTATAATATTTTGAACGCATGAAAGCTCCAGTTTTGTAAGCGGCCATTTATCTTCTACTTAAAATTGTTGCTGATTATGAAGAAGCATTTATTTGATGTATAAGTTGAACAAATTTAAAAAAACGGGGCTATTTCAATTTACAAACTTCCTAGAACGAAGTATAAAAAATTGGCCCATTTCTAGAACGGGGTATCTGTTTTAGGGCGAATTCTAGAACGGGGTATAAAAAATTGGCCCATTTCTAGAACGGGGTATCAATTTTAGGGGAAATTTTTTTTGGTATGGGGTGCCAATTTGGAGTCCCAGGCGGCACATACCCACCCAAAAAATACCCAAGTGCGCCCCCCAGGGTCTGGATCAATTACCAACACCACGTCCCCCACTGTTAGAATCTTTGAAGGTTGGAACCACTTTTGCCGGGATCCAATACTTGGCAAATACTCTCTCATCCAACGACTCCATACTCTACGAATCAGTTCCTGTATTCGTCTCCATCGTCTACGCACACTGACTGCCGTCGTATCGACTGTGTCTGGGGCTAGCTCTCCACCCATTTGGCCAATTAAGAAATGGTTTGGGGTCAGCACAGGCTCGTCATTGACATCTCCACTAACCGTAGTTAAAGGCCTCGAATTTAACAAACTTTCGGCCCCAGTAAACACGGTTTGTAATTCTTCATCATTGACATCAACTTCGTTCAAAATTGCATAAATTGCCCTCTTGGCTGACTTGATCATTCTTTCGAAGACACCGCCAAAGTGTGGTGCTTCGGGTGGGTTAAACTGTCACTCAATTCCTTGGTTGGAAGTAAGCCTTAAAATTTTGTCTTGGTCCATGCTATCCACTAACTCCTTGATTTCTCGTGCTGCTCCGACGTAATTACTTCCATTGTCACTGAGCATCAACTAAGGCCACCCTTGTCTAGCCTCCATACGCGTCAGCGCATTTAAGCAAGCATCCGTCTCCAGGAAAGCAGCCATTTCCAAATGACAACAGTGTGTCTGTTAACACACAAGTAAGCAAAGGTAGCGCTTCACTCGTGGTCTACCTCGTCCTTGCATCATGTAGAATAGTCCTGCAAAATCTGTCGCACAATTTGCAAATGGTTTCTGAGTTATCTCTAATTGTATTCTAGGTAATGGTGCCATTTGTTGTCGTGCTGGACAGCCCCTGAATCTTCGGTTACATTCTGCACATTCCTTGATACATTTCTTCACTTGTTGTCGTCCTTGAATCACAAAGTACTTCTCTCGTAAATGGTTTAATGTAAAGTTCACTCCCATCTCGTGATCTTCCCTCTCATGATGATACTTCATGATTAACTTGGTAACGATGTGATTCTTTGGAAGGATGATTGGAAACTTCATCTCTTCTGGCAAATCATCTGAATATCGCAGTCGCGTGTTTGATCAAAGGAGTCCCCCACATAACTTTGGTGTAATCTTTAGTAACGTACTCTTACTTGGGAGAGGCTTGTTGTTTTCAAGTGCTCTTATCTCGTCAGGAAAGCACTTTTGCTAAGCCGCCCTGATGATTTTCTCTTCTGCTTGATTAAGTTCCCTTGGGTTCAACTCCCCACTTTCTCGATTGTTTTGAGGCTTTTTGACATTTGCTAAGAATCGATTAATCCAACCAGTCAGCCGCACCAAAGACATTCCGATCTCCAGCTTTCCTTTTGGCTTGGTTCTGTACCATTTTGAATACTCCATTGGGTCTGGTGTGCTCTTTGGTTTGACTGTTTCCACGTAATAGCTGCGTGCATTCATGCTTAGCTCCTTTTCCACGAGCTGTTCTCGTTTCTCTGATTTAACTTCTTTGTAAGCTTCTGGGGCTTTTCCAAATTTCCTCTCTGGCCACTCATCTTCTCTACGTTTTAGAAACGGGGGCCCATACCACCAGCAGTCATCCTTAACTGGCTCTTGAACTGAAGCTCCTCAAGTACGTCCCTTGATCCGCAGGGTTGAGTTTCGTTGGAACGTACCGCCATTGGTCTGGACTGCTCTCGTCATGAATTTCCCCAACCCGGTGGGATACAAAAGGTTTAAAATTTCGACTCGGTCCTTGGACCCAAAACCCGACATTTTCGCTGTCCACCCAAAATGTGGCCTTGTTCCTAGGAATCTCCAGTGCTGCACATATCTTCAGTGTCAGTCGGAGACCAGTCAGTGCTCCCATGAGTTCTAACCACGGAATGCTCATGGCCTTCAATGGCGCCAACCTTGACTTTGCTGCGACTAATCTTGTGCTAAATGTTCCATCTTCATACTCATGGCGAACGTAGGATGCTGCGGCATAAGCCTTCTCAGACGCGTCACTGAACGTGTGAATAGTAACATCTCGAAGTTCCTTGTCTTCCTTCAGACCTCGTAAAACACGGACCGCACCAAGTTCTCCAAGTTCCCCGAACCATCTTTTCCATTCCATTTTAAAATGATCTGGCAATTCTTCATCCCATCCGAGAGCTTCAATCCAAGCTTCCTACATCAGCATTTTAGCTCGCACTACGAAGGGCGTCAGAAATCCAAAGGGGTCATAAATTGAGGCCGTTTTCTTCAGCATGTTCCTCTTTGTTAATACCAATTCGTCTGGGGGTGGAACAAAGGAAAATGAGAACTTGTCTTCCTGAACAATCCACTCGACTCCCAAGGTCTTCGTCACTGGAAATTCTTTCTTTTCGAGATCCACTTTAGTTGCTCGATCAGCTTCTGGTATGTCCATGATAACTTCAGGCTTCTGAGAGATCCATTTGCAAATGTGAAATCCTGCTTTATCTCCAAGCTCGGTTAACTGCTGTCGCATCTCCTTTGCTGTTTCCACCATTTCCACTGAAGGCATCAGGTCATCCATATAACAACTGTTCTTCACCGCTTCAGCTGCTAGAGGATACTCTGCTCTGTGATCATCCAAATGCTTCTGCCACACATACTGCGTACAAAAAGGACAGTAACACCCTCCGAACACATATCTCAAGAATTCGTAAACTTCTGGCTCCTTGCTCTGATCCATATTTCTCCATAGAAACTGGTGTAGTGGCCTGTCTTCAAGAGTAAGGGCAAGCTGATGATACATTTGACTTACGTCACCCACCAGGGCAACCAGTTCCTTTCGAAATCTGACTAGAATGCTAAACATGTCCACTTGCAGTTTCGGTCCCGGTAACGCTTCGCTGTTCAAACTCTTTCCTTGAAACTTAGCTGACGCATCAAATACAATCTTCGTTTTCGTTGTAGTCCCGTCAGCACGCACAACGGGAAAATGGGAAAGTAACCATTCTTCAGTGGGTGTCGGCTCATCTGGCGGCACTCGGCGGATGTTATTCTTCTCCAAATATTCTTCAATGACTTTCTGATAGGACTCTGCTATTTCTGGATTCTTTGCCAATTTTTGCTCTGTGGACTCCAAGCGCTTCTCAGCTAACGGCCTGTTGTTTGGAAGGCTTGGTCGCTCATTCCGCCAAGGAACAGCTACTACGTAATGATCATTCTCGAACTTGATTGACTTGCTCACTTTATGCCAGGCTGCTGTTTCATCAGTAGTCATAACCGGTTTAGGAGGTGTAATTCCCATGGTTTCCAGGTCCCAGAATCTCTTCAACAACGCATTCAAATCATCTGACTGTTCCACTGTCGGTGCCACTTCTCCAAACTGTTGCATGCGAAAAGTATGACACAAACTGGTGTTGTGATCTGCTCCTGTGTTCTCCATATTTATCCTCCCCACTGCCGTCCACCCCAGAGGACAAAGTCGTGCACATGGCTCCTCGGCTCCACCAATCACTTCTCTCTTGGGGTACATCAATTGATAGTTATCAGTTCCGAGCAACACATCAATCTTTCCCCGATTCGCAAGCTTTGGGAATGGAATGTCCTGCAAATGGTTCCAATTGCCCTTAATCCTAACCCAGTCAACTGCTTTCATCCCACCGCAGATTTTCTCAGAAGACTGTGCTACAATCTTAGCGTCCACACTACCGTCAACACTCTCTAATTCAATAGTGAATGTCATGGATGGAAAACGAGCTTCCTGATCATTAGCAACGTTCACAGTTACCAACTCTTTCTCCCCTTTGACTCCGAGCTCCTCAACTACATCTTCATTAACATATGTAGTGTCACTTCCCTCATCCAAGAAACAATTGACAAGAATTCTCTTCTTACCATGTTTCAAGATTGCTGGATCAGTTCGCAGTGCCACCTTTTCTGCTTTCTGTATTTTTAGCGAAGTTGAATTGGTGTTAGCATCCCCCTCCGTGCTAAGCCCGCCGCTTTGTTCTCGAGTTCCTTGTGACAGAATGTTGTCATCTCTGTTTGACTGGATTTCCCTTCTTCCTTGAATTGTCCTGGCCAACTGAAGCTGGGTTGACTGGGACTGGGTTCCCTGAGGCCGTGTTCCTTGAGGCTGAGTTTCTTGAGGCTGAGTTCCCACGGGTCGAGACTGAGAGTTGTTTCCATTTCGATTCCCATGTAACAACCGGTTGTGTCGGTCCTTGCAACCATCAATGTTACACACTCTACTTCTTGGGCACTCCCCTCCCAGATGATCATCACCCAAACATCTGTAACAGAGTCCTAGTTTTTTCGCCGTAGCCCATTTTTCCTGAATTTTTCTACTTTTAAAGATATCGCAATTCCATACAGCATGGCCTTCTCCACATACTTTGCATGTTCCCCTCTTTTTGTCATCAGTTCGGTTACTTCCAAAAGACTTACTTCTTCAGTTGTGAAATTTGCCGCTTGAATTTCCTGATTTTAAACCATGTTTAATTTCAGTTGCTTGAATCTGATATTCAGCCTCTTCTGCAGTCCAATCTTTGAGTGTAATTAGAGACTCGACCCTTCTATTTTCTTTTACCCAGCGAATGTATTGAGATAACAATTTCTCTGTCAGTTTTTCAAGAATGATAGTGTACAAAGTTCCCGCTTCTAAATCTGCCGCTCTATTGTTCTCCTGTAGATTTATCACTGCCCTCTCCAACATGTCTGCAAATTTTTCCAATTCTTTTGAATTTTCCTCTCCGATTGGCTTCAGTTTTATTAATTCGTCTACATGACACTGAATTTCCCTACGATTTCCACCGTATTTTCTCAACAACCTCGACTTAGCAGCTTCATAAGCAGCCTCAGAATATCCTAAACCTTTACTCGTTTCTAAAGCTTCGCCCGCTAAACATGCCTCCAATCTCAACATTTTAAACTGAGCAGACATTGCAGTTGCATCCATGCAACTCGTAAATGTTGCGTTCCAGTGCTGAAATTCAGTTTTGTTCCCGCCAAATGTTGGAATGCGAATTCTTTCTAGGTTATTCACCCCACTATCAACCTTCCTTTGCGGCAAACTGGTGTTAGAGTTACTCGAGTAAGATGGTGGACTTACCGGCCGTGTGTTCCGTGTTACTGAAGTCAAGACGTGATGAGCGGCGCTAGCTTCACCTTCAATTTTTTCGTTTAATTCATCCGCTTCCGTTAATTGTGTCACAGATTGCCGCCATCACCATCTCTATAACACTTGTTCAGGGAACTGTTTCTCAAAAGTCCCAATAATCAACGGGCCGGTAAGGCTGTTGATGTTTGCATGCAAGATAGAGCTTTCAATGGTTTTGCATCTAACATGACTAAAACTATAAGTTAATGAAACAAAATGGAGTAGTTTGCTAGCCAGGAACTGCACTCTTATTCTTTATATTTCAATTTGAATAATTGATTTCGGGCTTGAAAAGTTACCTGGGCCCAAGGTCTGTTTTCATCTTCTCTGTTGTATTTTGAGCTTATAATGTTGTATGCTCAGGCTATTTTTGATAAATGTTGACATTTCATTGTTGTTTAGGCAACTTTATTCTTAAGAAAATTATATGGTTTTATTCAGTTTAAGCTTTCGGGAAACGATGCATTTTCTGCCACTTGCGACGTTTGTAGAAAACTGGTCAAACCAGTCCTCTGGAGTACAAATACTGTGAGATATTTGTATTCATTTTAGGCGTTATTTGTACAGTACTCTACTGATAAAAGTTGAATAATAAAACATAATTATATTAAAAGGCTTCTAGCAATGTGTTGACACCCATAATTTTCCATTTCCTTTCAACTCCTCTCTAATAATTTATTAATGAGTCAGTAAGATATGTACATGTAAATAAAGAGGTTCCTGGAAATATGACAAAATGATGTCTGTTAAACTTCTAGATTCGCATAATTGCAATAAAATATAATTACAATAAAGTATAATACAGTGTCTCCTTGTGATAAAGAGGGCCAATATTTTATTTGAGATGAGATGGTCAGTTACTTGTAAAAAGAAACAAGAAAAATTTGGAGTAGCAGGGTGGAAAGAAAGTCAGTTGTACAGCTTGCTCTTTGGGTAGCTGTGGGTAGCATGTATATACTAGCCCAAAAGTCATTTTATACTATCCTGGAAAACAATGTTGATGAGCAGGATTAATAATTGATTATTTATTTAACTAATTAATTACACCATTAGTTGATAAATTACTTGTTCAGTTAATTCAGTGCTGAGTGTAAGAATATCCTGGTAGGGACTGATAATCACTTTGTTACACCATAGCAAGGTGATGAAAGCTCAGTGTTTATTACAAACCTCCTTTGGCAGCGAGACTAGGAAGTCTTCCTTTCAAGTCAACATTATTCTTATGAGTAAAACTTGGCTTGCTTAAAAGACCTAGACTTGGAAAGTTTTGATGTTACTAGTAAAAGCTTTCCAAGTTTTCCCATTTACACATGTTAAATTTCCCTTCCAAGGAAAACTTGCCTGAATTTGTAAATGGGTTCTTAGATTTATTTAACTTTTGACTTGATTTTTCCTTGTTTGCAGGGAAGCTTTTCGCAGGAGAGGAAAACTGTATTTAGTGTTTGAATATGTGGAAAGAGTAAGTTAGTGTATCTAGAAACAATTTTGTGCATGCAGTACAAATCATTGCGTACTGGTTATTTAAAACATCATATGAAAAGACAGTAATAACAGGATTTAATAAGTTTAAAAATTTGCTTGTAGAATATGCTTGAATTGCTGGAAGAAATGCCCAATGGAGTTCCATCACACAAAGTGAGGTTAGTCAAAATTAAATTTAAAAAATAAATAAATAAAAAGCAGGGGTCTGATCCTACATGTAGGTTGTTTTTCTCCTCTGTTAACTTCTCAGGGTCTCTCGAGAGTATGGAATGAGTAATTATTAGTATTTATGGGTCAAAAGTATAGTATGTAAGTTAAGTATATACTGTTCATGCAGCACCTCTGGCAAAAACAAAGTGTACATAATGTCCACAGTTTAGTTATTGGTATTCACTGATTTATAATTTGCTTCCCATAAACAAGCTACATCGTGTGTCTTTTGGTATTATGCATCCAATTCAAAATGATTGTTTTACCTTAGTTTATTCAGATGCACTTTTATGCTAAGTGCTGAAAGTTTAGTTGCAGTGTTATGCATGCACAGGTTCACCTGATTGGGATTTTTTATTTGTAAATTCCAAGAAATCAAATTGCATTGCATGGGAGAACTACATTGTATAAATCTTGACCTTTCCAATCTTGATTGCCAGAAATAGCTGTCAGCAACCAAAAAAACCACCTACATAGTTTTTAATAAACTTATGGGATTCTTTAGCTGCTAAATTGAACATTATTTATCCACATTCCTCCAAACATTCTGACAAACCTGCTCCCACAACTTCAGTTGTTGTTTTTGTCACTACTTTTTGACTTGTGACCTGATTGGTCTGATCCAGATGACTGGAAGGTTGTACCTTCTCCAGACGCAATTGTCTGCGGACTCTGATGTAAATTACTTCCTGCACTTCCCTGGTAAACCAGTATGGATGTGTTTCTGTGTATTCTTAAGTTCTTTGATCTGGTTCTTAGGAATATTCAAGTCCAGGAAAGTTTGCCAGCCCTACACTTAAAAAAAAAGTGAGCGGGTTGGAATTATTGCAACACTGTAGGGTCCTAACCGTATTGTTTCTTATGAAACTTAACTACGATTCTGGCCCCGGTTGTTCAAACGTTGGATAGCGCTATCCAGCGGATAAATCACTATCCAGCGGATAGCGTAATTGATTTCCGTAATACTTACCGGCTGGATAGTGATTTATCCGGTGGAAAGCGCTATCCAACGTTTGAACAACCGGGGCCTGGCAGTTTTTAGTAATTGTTGCTAAAATTTATTGGGTAGTCCACAGACTTGCATTTTGTACTGGTGCCAAACTATGTGATGATATGACCAGAAAAACTCACAAACGTATCTTAATCAGTTGATGGATGGATCTTTACTAACTTAGTCTGTGGTGTCTTGTTTCATTTTCACCCTCCCATGTTTTGTCTCCTTGTGGCAGCTGGTTTGCAAATAATACTAGTATACATGCATTTTACATACTTGACTCTTTTAGAATACATGTAAGGTCACTGCTTATGCTTTAAATCTTCTCTCTCTAGGGGCTATATTTTTCAGCTCATTAAAGCCATTAAGTGGTGTCACCAGAATGATGTGATTCATCGAGGTATTTTTCCCATTTTAAAACTTGTCATGATTGTTGGCTCTCCTGAAAATAGTATGTCTGCTTCTTAGGAAGATCCACTTGGCAGAATTGTAGGGGACAGTGGTGTCCTTGGGGTATAATGTCTTGTGCTTGATTAGTAGGATCAATATTTAAACAACTGGTTTTCACTATATTATGAAAAAAGGAAGTTGGGCTGTTTATTATATTCAGCTCGTTTCAACTTGAAGCATGTCCAAATAGATTATATATTAGTATTCAGCCTTCAATAGTTACTGTAATGTGCTTTAAAGAGAAATAAGTGAGTTACTGAATATGTTATTTTTGTTTGAAATATTGACAGGACAGTCATGAACACAATTTAAAGTACATTAAATTACTTGAATGGGAAAAGTTAAATAACATCATACACCTCTACCTAGTAGAAAAACCTTTCAGTGCTTGATGCAATTGAAAGGTGGAACACGATTACTTGATACCGCAATGATTGAATTAATCTTATATATTCATTTCTACTTTTTGTTGCCAGATATTAAACCAGAAAATTTGTTAATTAGCAATGATGGCATCTTGAAGCTTTGTGACTTTGGTAAGATAAAATAAAATTCTTTAAGAAAAAATAGATGAGATTGTAAAAGTAAAAGTTGAAAAGTATTTGTGAATTAAAAATTATTATAAATTGTTGACATGTTATGTATGTTATGCATTTTACTTTCTGTTGCATTGTTAAAAACAGTTTTTTAAATGCTCCTGTCACGCAGCATCATCAAGTGTTGAGTAGAGTCTTACAATCAACTGTTGACTGATCAGTATGTTTGTTTATTATCTAAGCCTGTGGTATGAGGTAATAGAGAGCACATAGGTAATTTTCAATCGTATTTAATCCTATATTTATTATAACCGCAGGTTTTGCTAGAGCCATGACTGTTAATGGCAGTGGTCAGTTTACAGATTATGTTGCTACTCGTTGGTATAGGTCTCCTGAACTTCTTCTGGGGTAAGCTAGGAAAACACATGACTTTATAACAGCAACCTCACGTTGTCATGCTTTTATTCTTAATTTTCATATAATTTCTGTGCTTGACACTCAAAATGAAATGATTTCCACACAAGAGGCACAAACTTTAATACCCTTCTTAGAGAGCAATTGATGTGCTCTAGTATTGCTTGGTGGGCCAACACTATCTTGGCCTTTGCACAACACTGTATTAAGGAATCTTGCAGTTTCACTAGAATAAAAATGTATAACTTTTAGCGACTAGAATGCTTACTCTGGTGACCAAAAATGAAAACTTGGAGGCCAGCTGGCCACAAGATTTTTTTCTGAAAGTTGAGCAATGAAGTGCCCTAGTAAACAACACCAGAAATATTGTTATTTTTATGAAAAGTTCTTGTTTTGAAAAGGAAAAGCCCATCAGGCGTGCAAAAACGTAACCACAAGCAGCTGCAACATGGTAATAAAGTCTGTAGTTTTCTTGCTTACTCGCATTTGTTGGTCATAACACAGTAAACATTCCTAAAATATTTTAGAGTGTTTACAGAACCTTTTATTTGGTTGATAGTAATTGCTACAACTCATAAAAATTTGGAAACTATTGCAGGGCACCTTATGGTAAACCTGTGGACATCTGGGCTATTGGTTGTATTCTGGGAGAACTCAGTGATGGCCAGGTAACAAAAGCATCAATACTTAATGTATGGATGCTATATAATAGAGTTGCAATTATATTGATTTTCTTCTAAGCGCTTCTAATAGAGTTCAGGTCATGAGATTGCAAAAATTGGCTCCCTTTGTGTAGATTAATTGTTTCCAACATTTACAATGTGTCTTCTAAGTAGTTATTTTTGTCGATGTTCTTGAAAATACTGTTGATGATAATCTCATGATACTTACTTTATTTTGTCCTTTCTGATAGCCTGTCTTTCCAGGAGAGAGTGAAATAGATCAATTATTTACAATACAAAAGGTTGGTGCATGACAAAAAAGTCATATTAGTTTAATCATGCTATGTTTTGTGAAGGGAAACTCAATAATTGGTTAATTTACTACCTGGTTAATTACTCAGGGTGACTGAGAACAATATTTCTATAGTTCTTACTGCACTAAACCTTTGCTTATACTGTTTGTGCTATAATAGACGCATCAAATACAAATGAAATTACCGTCCCAGGTAGTTTTGAACAATTCAATTTAAGTTCCTTTTATTAGCATTTATCAGGTTGTCAAAACAATGATATAACCTTCGATAGCCAAGCTTGGTCATTACCATTTCTGTTATTAAAGTAAATTGTGATCAGCATATTACATTTAAAAGACAAGTTTTAGTAAAGGAAAAAGTTTGATGATTTCTTGGGGACTGCTCAGAGCCACCTCTAAAATGTCCAAAAAGATAAAGTGAAAGACATAAAATTTTCTTTATATATGCTTTGATTCTCCAAGATCCTACAATTTTAAGAAATGAGGGAGAAGTATAGAAACCAGTTTTATTACTGAATTTGACAGCCCTGAATTACCAAAACAATTGAATTGTAATATTACTTCATAGGTTTGTGGCAGAGTAGGGGTGTAAAATGGCAATATGTGAAATATTTCAGGTTCTAGGTGCTCTTCCACCTGATCAAATGGAGATGTTTTACAGTAATCCACGATTTAAAGGACTCAAGGTAAACAATCATCTGATTAGCTGTTTAACATAGGTAATGGGTATTTTACAGTACTATGATGCAGAGTCAAAACCAGTTGACAAAAACTTAGGTTTTCAGGGTTTTGCAGAGCTCACTAGTGCTTTCATTCAATTTGCTATTCAGTTATATTGATGACATATATTCTCTATATCATGACATCTGCTGAAACAAAAAACTGCTCATTATTGGGCTGCCCGTGAGGGCAACGCCCAATCAAGAATAATTACCGTATCCAGCTATGTCGAAAACAGACAAAATGGCGGGCGGAATACCCTGAGGGCTTTGCGTGTCCCGTTCCCCCTTCAGTGGGGCCGATTTTTGCGGGGAGGGGACGGCGAACAGATTTAGAAGTCCGTTTTGAAACGAACTCAAAATTATTGCGTGGATTTATTGGCCCTATATCTATGCCAAATGATTATCAAAATACACTATTCGAATAAGGTAGTTAACCTGCACGGGAGCTGCGGAAACAATGCCCTTCCACGTCCTCACAGGAAAAGCTTCAGCTCGTTGCAATATTCTGTACCTGCATGTGAAAAGTCTTTCCTTTTAATACAAGAAAGGAATATGCTGTTTGCAGATCTTACCGTCAAATAGAAACATATTCACTTGGATAGTTACAAAGGCTTTAAATCCAATATCCGACAGAAAAAAACTGAAACTAAATTTGCTCTGCGAGTTTTAAGAAACAGTTATATAACAATGTTTGAAACCCAAGAAATTGACCTTGTCACGTTTTATAAGTATTGAACGACAGTAAATTTTTTTTCTGTCATGGGCAGAGCTGGATTGAAGGCGGGAAGAGGGTGCGTTATTTGGAGTCCCAGTTAAAAATAATGCCAATCGTTTCTTGTTTCAAAAGTATAACTTACCTATTTTTATTCATAGTGGTAGAAATTACTTTTCAGCCCTGGCTTAAAATGCACAATCGGCAGACCAATGAACCCCCAGCATGGGGGTCTTACTGTGGAGAGATGACTTTTTTTAAAGTGTAGTTGAGGTTCAACCGTTTATTATTTTATGCTTGTTGTGACAATGCACTAAAGGTTAATGAAACTTCTTTCCACAGTTTCCCACCACAATTACTCCTCAGACTTTAGGAAGGAAATATGCTGGAGTAATCAGTGGAATTATGCTTAGCTTTATGCAAGTAAGTGTTTTGGGTTCACATAGGCAGCTATATTGACGAAATAGTCAAGCAGAATATCAACAATTGCATTGCCAAAATAAGGAGGGGTGCCCAAACAAGAAGCTTCCAATATAGCAGCCAGCTCTTACATTGATACTGCTCTCGTGGCTGGCCTACATAAGAGCGCACAATCTGTGCGACTGTCTGGAAACCGGTCGTTTCGATACGAGTACAGTACGCTAGTACTGTTCGATACGGTTTCGAGCAGTGAAATTGCACAAACATTTCGTTCACTTCAATTATAGTTTGTGCGTGAACAAGAAAAACATTTTGGGTGAATATTCTTCGTTCTTTAAGCCAAGGACGTGAAACTATTTACACCTCGTCTGAGTAAGCGTGTATCGAAACGACTTTGAAATGAGCCGTAACCGAATGTCTGAACGAGCAAATAGTTATCCTTCCTTTTCTTGAAAAATATATTGTTTGTTTGAAGTCCTTTCGAGTAATGCATATTCAAGTTTGCCTTGGGCCGTTAAAACGCTCAAGAAGTACAGATTTTGTCGAAAAACGGTAGAACTACTCTCTACTTTCTGGAACAACTTTTAGCAACCTGCAACAGCCTGATTTGTTGCAAGCTGGACAGGCTTGCACGTGGGTGGTAAGATGCGCAACTTCACTTTTCAATTCATTTTTCAGCAATGTTACAAAACAAAAGTTGCAGGTTTTTGTTGCCCGTTTTACTTTTCCTTTAGCCTTACATGTGGTTTAATATGCGTAGGCGCCAGGATTCCTGCCGACCCCAAAGGAAATGCAGGCATACTTTGTTGTTCACTCTGTTGAATTAAAACTTACCTGGATGTGTTTTTAGGCAACACTACAGCTTGATCCAAAAGACCGATTTTCAATCATTGATGCTTACAATCACCCTGCTTTTCGACAAGAAAGGGAAACATTTGAAAGTACATTAAAGGACAAAGAGGGAGTTGAAATGAAACATGTCACAAGAAAGAATGACAGTGGTGTTAAATCACGACATTTTACCCATAAGGGAAGCTATTCACATGGTCTGAAACCATCTGAGAGTTCACAAAGTGTAAAAACACAAGCTCCTCAAGATGCAAAGAGTAATGCACATGGAAGTCTTCCTCTTGGCAAAGATTTTAGTGATGAAAAGAAACTCGTGATGCAACAAATGACATCTAAAGAGAAACATAAGGACACAATCGTCGATAATGTGCAAGTCATGAATAGAACTAATGAACATGAACCCTCGGAAATGCCGGATATTTCCTCATCTGTCACTAATGCAGAAATGTCAGACAGTAGTTCTTCATCAGTCAAGTCTGTGGTTTACAGTTCTGCTGATATAAAACCCCGTAATTTTGTTTCGCAAGGTGGTGGAAATAGCAGTTTGTCAAGAACAGGTTTTCAAGCAGAAGAAAGAACAAACAGAACTAATGTTACCCAAAGTGATATAGGTAGTGAAGAAGACTATAAAATGAAGGGTAAATCAGCTGCTATCTCTCACGCCAGTCATCTTGTTGCTGCTAATTACAGCTTTTTTCCTGGAACTGAAGAGTCTGAGTTTGAACAACAAAAGAATCCAAAGGTATTCTGTGAAGGTCAATCAGGCTATGTGTACATTATACTGGACAGCTCAGCATCCTGTGGACATGAACACCTGTCCAGTACGTGCGGTCACGAAGATTGGCACTGAAACCTATCCGATACGTGACAATCCACTTTTAAGACCAGTGCAGCACAGCCTCCCACCTTTACTGACAGAAACCGCTCTAAAATCACCGTTGTCATGTGTGAACAAAAGTCCGATCCGATTGGGCTTTGGTGTCGGCCCAAGAGGTCCGTGGTATAATGTAGACATAGCCTTAACAAACGCGACAACGGCAGCGAGAACGGCATTGAAAAAAACAGTAGCTTTATGAACAACTGTGCACTAGCCTGCGAGCGTTAGCTCTCTATTTCGAGTGGTGAGTAAAGCATGCCGCGCGAGCGAGAGGCGTAGGACGGACTTCTCACGCGGTTCCCAAATTGAAAGCTTGCTTGCAGGTTAACTCTGCACGTTCAGCACCCCTTTTTGTTCATGTCTTTGCCGTCACTGAGCGACTACGATGTGAAACTTTCTAATTTCACGTTTATGGTGGCCGTGAACCCAAGACAATGATTTTCTTTCTTTCTCAGTCACAACTTGGATGCAATTTACCTCCACACCAGTTCGTCAACATTTGACAAATTGCACGACGTGGAATAATATTGATGTATTTAAAGAAGCGCGAATTCACTGTGACCTTTTCGCTGCCAACGCCGTCGTGGTTTCTTTAGCTCTCTAACGTTACGTTTAAAATGAGAATAATCTTGTATGACACTCTCACATGCAGTCAGTCAAGAAATGGCTATGCTTCCGGCTAAATACATTGTGGCTATTTCATGGTTTGGATATTATTTTCAGGCTTATGGCTCATCCACAATTGCAGAGGAAATAAGAAAAACAAAATCTGTCATCCTTGGGAAGAAAAAAGACAGAGATGGGTCAGCTTCAGTCAAATCCAGACCACAACAGCATATTTCAAGAAATGAGGTTTGTAACTGTTACTGACCTGCACTGCTGCAGGGCAAGTTTTGTAGGGTAGGCCCGTAATCATCTATGTTGTAAGTTATGTTCCAGTTTTCCTTCCATTTCCTGTAGCCTCTCTAACAATATGTACGACTTGTTGTCTTAGTGTTAAAATTTATTTCCTGCAGGCCTCAGAGCATCAAACCAAACAATCAGGAGGTAATGTTCGACAGCAAGGTAAACCGGTTTTTATATAGCTGACTTGTAACTGAACCTTTTAGTTCACAAAATCAAGTATAGTATAATTATTGCTTTGGTTGAAGTTATTGGTTAGCCGTATTTTATGTTTGCTGTAATTGTCGAAACATAAGCGTTAGTTTATGCCACCTGAAGGACTACTAAATTAAGGACAGTGAGGTTCACTAGGATAATTTTGCTAGAAGTGAGGCGTTTATGCTCTACACACGATTTAAAAGTGCTTCTCAGTCACACATTAACACCAGGAGTAAGGGAGGCTCTAAATACCCTCCTTATCACCTGTAGGAAAAAAACAGCAAATATCTTCCGGTTACTGTGTCAGGGGAAAGGGAGACTGCAAATATGTCGGCCTCGCTATCCCAGAGAAGAGGAGAGATTCTAGTACCCTTGGAACAAACACCACGTCCAGAATGAGATGCACAAGGGAAGGAATGCCTTGAGAATACAGCATGCTAATCTCCCTTTTTGTTGTTGCTAGATTCTGGCACTTCCAGTCGAGAAGAAGCTCTTCAGCCGAATTTTTCCATTCCAATGGGTATGAGCACAGAAAGAAGAGGTTCTAAGTCAGACTTGTCAATACCAAACTATGATTATGGAGCTTCTCATGTGAAACAGCGTCAGGATTCACTGTGGTAATGTTTTCTGTAGATTGTGCAACTCGTTCCAGATGCGACAAGAATGCAGCAAGCTTGTTTCAGTTGAAATTCTTGCCAGCGCTATAGGAGCTACTTCAATTTGTCTTTTTTTAAGCTTACAATCCAACTTCCGACTCCATTCTTACTCCCCATTTTCATACTATCTGGCTGCCAGCCTAACAGCTTTATGGTTTTGAGCGGTTTACAACCTGATGGCCCTTCAACTTGCAAGGCAAAGCTAAAAAGCTCGCAAAGAAAAACAAGTCAGAGTGAAAACGGTAGATTACAACTTGGTTGGTAGCATAACCTCAACAACAAATGTAGCGAATGAACTGTGTTGTCCTTACAGGAGGCAAGACTTAAGTGGAGAAGAAAACCAACCTAGGAATGTCTCAAGCCAAGAAAAAAGAGACAAGAAGAAAAAGAGGAAAAAACTTCAGCAGGTCAGTTAAAGGTTGCGTGCCTGATTCTCTTTGAAAGTCATGTGTTTAGGAGGAGATAGCTTCTCAAATACTCTGCCGTAGAAGCTTTCTCATTGTGAGGGAAAGGGGGGGGGGGGGGGGCTTTTTCTTTTTTTTTTTCTCCCCCCTTCAACATTCGGGTGGCTTGTTTCCTTAAACTTTTTTTCCTTCTTTTGGCCCTGCCGCTCATCCCGGTTTCCACCCTTTCTTCTTTTTATCTATGGGGCGTCCGAAAAAATCCCCCCTGATGGCCTAGTTCGGGTTTGCCGTTGGTCGATAGCTTTTTGTCTCTCCCTTAAGAGAAAAAAAAAAAAAGGGGAAAAAATTTAGCGAGGTGATTAAAGGGTTGGGTCCTGGTTTTTTTTTAAAGGGCTGTTTTTTGGGGGGGGAAGGTTTTCAAAATCCTTGGCCTAAGAAGTTTTTCATTTTGGGGGGAAGGGGGGGGGGGGGAGGCGTTTACTGCTATCTTTCCTCCACCCTTCACCAGTAAGTTGGCTGTGTTCATTAACTTATTTTCTCTTCTTTGGCCCCTGGCGTGATATCCGGTTGCGACCCTTCCTGCATTTTACAATGGGGACAGCGCAAAAAATCCCTCATATGGCCTATATGGGGATCTGCCGCTGAGCGTAAGATTTTTGTCCTCTCCTTCTCAAACAGGGTATATAATTTCGCGTGAGTCTGTCCTAAACGAGGTATATAATTTTCGTACGAATCTGTCCTAATAGCTTCAAGACAAGACGGTGTGCATATTATTGTCCTTTTTCCTAAACAACGTAATAGAATTGAGGTTGTTGTCCTAAACAGGGTATGTATTTCTAGGATTTTTTGTTCTAAAATAGGGTCAGGGTTTGAAACCCTGAGCGGCTCACCTATACCTAAATTTTGGTCGAGTACCCCCTGGGGGGTTAGGCTATTCCAGCTTTTGGTGGGAGCAAGGCTGTGGTTGACTTTTCGTTTCTTCTTAGTAGTAGAGGGTCAATAATTTTGTGGTTTTTGTCTGCAGATGTCAAGTTTACCTCCTCAGTCCAAGCATCATCCTTTAGAATCACAAGGGTAAGCAAACTTTCAGGCCTTGTGATGAAAACAGAGTTTATTCAATGCTAGTCAACAAAACCGCGTTTTGAGTCTTTTTTTCATTTTGGCCATCCCGGTGTCAAGACGTTAGGTAGCCAAGACTAAAAACCTTTATCTTCGTTGTAATTACACGCCCTTATCCTTAAGTGTGAAACTCTTAACCTCTGAACGTGTTTTACTGTTAGGCGCGGGTTTAATTTATCCCTCATCGATTTCTCTTCGCTCCTGTTACCAACACACTAACCCCTGAAGCAGATTTTTTTCCATCCCTGCCGAGTCTTATCGACGTTTATAACACTTTATGTTTATTGCATTAAAATTCCGAGGGAAAATATATCAATAAAAAAAGGTTTCTTTTTATTATTTTTTCCTTGTAGCGAATTAAGCAGAATGGGAGAGTGGAGTAGAAACACCGAAGTGCAGGTAGAATACAAGAGATTGCTTTATTTTTTTTCTGCTGAAAAAGGAAACTGAAAAACTATCCGGCATTTTCTTGTTTGCAGTCTTTTGATATGCGTCCGCATAAAGCCATCGGAAAACTACCTTCCAGTGAAAAGGTACGTTTATATTATGCTACCAGCGTTAACTTTATCCCTGGTCATGTTGAGGCAAGCCTTCTTTATCTCTTAATGAACCGAGTACGTTTGGGGTTTGATTTGAGTGGCAGAATATAACGTCGTTGTTGTCAATTCACTCAGTCCCACGAGTTACAATTTTTCATCTATCGTGACAACTTTCCGTCCCATGCGAAATTGACGGAAAGTAAAAGTGGCTGGAAAGTTTCTCATTGGCGCGATTCATTTTTCCTTCAAATTAACGGGGCTTGAAGAAAAGAGAACCCTGGGTGACTCCCACCAATTTCCCGTAGGATGGAATGTCGTCATGTTTGATCTGATATGGCGCTTTCCTATGCTGAATTTTTATAGTCTTTGTAGAAGAATTTCATTGTGATCTGATGGAATTTGAAGGTTCAGAATAACTAAAAACATTGGCGTCCTTTTATTTATTTATTTATTTGTGTTTTTATATTACAAAACAATGTTTTTCCCTAGCTGCCTTGTTCGTTAAATGCCTCGTTTTTTATTCAGTGTTTTCTTTTGAACAGGCTGTGTCTCACCTTGGGCCACTAACAATTAGTTCATCTCACAAACCTCTTGGAGAAGTTCGCCTTCAGCCTCTTCAGCATAAAAACCTCGCTCATCTAACGCATAACACTTATCCAACCCGCAAACCGCCGGCGGCCAAACGTGAAAGTCCTGAATCTCGTACTTTCGGTGCTCTATCCCCCTGGGCAGGACAATCCGCTTTGTCGCTTCAAGGCCACATTCATAAACAAACGTTATCAGAACCAGTGAATTTCACTTTTCCGGACAGACCTGTCAGTCCTTCTACTGAACATTTAGCGCCCTTACCGAGAAAAACTTCCCGACCTGCGTCAGAAAGCGAAATTGGAAATGAAGATCGAGACACTAAGTTGGGAACTCCATTTACTGGACTGAAACCTCTGACTCCTCCTAAAGAGATAACGACCAAATCAGGAACTCGTGTACCGGATTTAAACAAGCTGGAAGAAACTCCATTATAGCATATGCTCCCACCCGGAAAACACGGCGAACGCCGTTTTACCTACAGTGTAATCTTGTCGAGGGTGTATATGGTTATAGTCCAATGTTATCCTTGGTTCAAAATGTTTCTTTTTTTATTGTCGTTGACCTTAAGACCTATTAATGTTCGCAAAAACACAGTGGAATGAAGTTGAACACACGACTCATTGAACCCCAACATGCACACACCGTTAAACACTTTAATCTTGCTTTGACACATTTTTTGTGGCTGAACACAGTTTTGCGGGCGGTCAGCGGTAACTTGCGTGACGGCGCGTGTTTTAAATTAGACAGACAAACATGGCGGCGTAAAAGCAATGGTGCACAGAAGACGATTTCTCAAAATCTACTCATTAGAATTTTGTGATATTTGGCCGAATTTTTCCTTTTATCGTATTTTAAGTAATGAGAACTTTAAAGTGGAATTTGAACAGACAAATTTTTGTGACACATTTCATAATTACAGTACAATTAAATTATTGATTATCTGAAACCCTTCTGTTAAAATTTGGTCTAATAAGTTTCAAATGGTAATGATTAATTATAGTAAGCTGTGTGCAAGTTTATAGGAAAATCTAATGAGCGAATTTTATGTAAACTGAGAAAAAGTGAAATTTTAAGGTTGCATTCAATCGTTCATGTTGCCACGGAAACTACGAAAACGTCAATTTTTACCTGTCAATCAAAATCTTTCATCAGTACATTTTTCACTTGCCAAGTTTCAGCTCGTGAACTGCAACCTTTCTCTTGCCATGATTTGGCAAATGACACATAATCACAAACTGTCAAAACTGTGTTCAGCCACCTTAAGGAATGGTATTCACTGAACAACAGCTCTTTGGGGTATTTATACAGTTCCGGCAGTTCATGCGTGGGATCAAAAACCTAACGACAGGGATTCTTTTTCAAAGACCTGGAGCAAGTAGGCTTTAGCTGTCTCTTCTCGACTTAGGTAGCCATTTTGATGGCCGCGTGTTTTGCTTAAAGGGACTATGTAACGAAGATATTGCTGTTTTAGGTCAATTCTGTGCTGAAGTCATTACTTAGTGTCTTTACTAATTCACAAACTGCTCCTGAAGATTTATGATGAACACATCATACATACAGCATCAGGGGGCGCTAACGATCATTTTTTCGATTATTGTGCAGGCATAGCATTAAAACTAGAAAATCCTTGCTATCCGTTGCAACAGACCATAGGGAACATTTTCCGTGCCTAAAAAAAGTCTTAAATAACAAAACTGGACCATTTTTTTTAGAGTTCAATTGATGCGCCGACAAGTTTTAGCTGAAAAAAAGATTGCAAATAGCGTGACATAGACCCTTCAAAATAGAATTTGGCAAATCTTTGCGGATAGTCTACCACTCATGCCGTATAGGAACTTTTATATAAGCTTGCGCTGTTGAAACGTTTAAGGGCTTGTTTACATGCATGGAAGTGGGGGACCCCAGGTAGGTAAGGCAACCCGGTTAGATAGGGTAACTCGCCTGTCCATATAATCTCTCATATGGTCACCCCAACTATGATGTAAACGTGATCAAATTGAAATGAGAGATTATATGGACAGGCGGGTTTCCTCACCTACCTAGGTTCCCCCACCTCCATGTAAAAATGCCCTAAGTTAACGTTTCCTTACATGTTCAAGTCATAACTGTAAACTGAATAAAGGTTAATGACTTTGTTTTCTTGGTTTTCAAAACCATCCAGTCCAACCCTGTTGACTTAAAAAAGTTTCCGTTATGGATTGCTTGGTATCGTTCCATTGTTAATTTATTCGTTTTTACGTAAACTACGAGAGAAAATTGTACAGCAGGGTGGCATAAATGTTAAAAATGACGTATGCAGACAGAATTCGCCGCTCGTCAGGAATATGTATGCCCTTTGATCTCACCAAGACGTTTTTAAATGTTATAGGTCAAGCAACGGTATTATAGTGAAAAAGAGTTTTTGAGCCGGAATGCTCCTAGAGGATCTTGGATTTTTTCAGTCGCCGTTATTGTCAGTAATGTTTCTCAAATACTGTATGCCACGTTGTTCTGGCGCAAGGTAAATACCTTCATTTCACTCTTCTTGTCTTTTAGGTGTATCTATCATGAGTTATCATTATGTCTGTCCACGCCGGAAGGGACAGAAGACCATAAAGTAAATACGCTACCTTTATTAAAGTATACTTTTAGGGTATGGTCCGTTTAAAGTTGTAAATATGTTGAGGTGTAGCGAAGTGTCTGCTGCACACACGTTATTTATACGATTTGTGGTTCGTAGCAGAATTATTTTGTAAAAGTTCGTGAAAGTTCAAATATAAAAGACAGTTTATTGCACCCTTTTGAGTGACTTTTTTTGATTCATGAACGATAGACAAAACTGTAGACCAGTACACTGTGGACAGAGACTTTCATGGAAAATCAACCCTTGCACCGCGTACCTAGACAAACCGGTCAACGACGGTAAATTTTGGGTAGATTAACTGCAACATACGCGAATAGCCGTAGCGTTCACCCGTTAGAAATGTTAGTCTTTAAGCTCAAACGCAATGAAAAACGCCAGCGATCAAATTCGACGGCTATATACAAAAGCTTCTGTTGCAAATGAATCCACTCTAAGTATTGTCGTCGAATTAACTGGGCTGCCTCAAGGTACACCCAGTTCGTAAATTTGGTTTCGGAATTTTTCGGTCTGCTACATAGACTTGCACACAAGTCGAGCTCAAAATTTTTCTCGAGCGCAAAGCGCGAGCTAGAAATTTTTTATGTTTTCGGTGGCAAAGCGAGCGAGAGAGCGGGAGCTCTCGCTGGGGCCTACTACCGGAAACGAGAGGCGAAGGACTTTGAGAAAGTATACCTCCTATGATGAAAAATGAACGCTTTTAATTATTAACCCAGTAACGCAGAGGGCGTTGCGTGATCCATAAAGAATGTTTGTCCATCTTCGCCAAGTCTATTAGCAGCCGTTATTAGGGTCGTCACGCAACGCTCCTCCCCACTAAAAGGAATGTGTCTCTCTCGTGAGCAGCCGTTAGTGGGGAGGAGCGTTGCATGACGACCCTAATAACGGCTGCGAGGGAGACTAGTATAAAGATTGATTTCTTCCTGTTTAATGCAACACACGCCTTTTCGGAGGTGTAAATTTTTGATTAGGATAAAGAAGACTCGTTCGACGAAAATAGGAACTTTGAGAATTTCGCACACAAGTTCATCTCATAAGCCTAACTGGCGAGAGGGCAAATAAGCTGCAAAGCTTCGAGAACGCGAAGCTTCACCGGGAACTTCAAATACCAACTTGAGAGAAACAGAGCTGAAACAGTAGTAAGGCAAGTTACTTCCTAGTACAAGATTTGGTGACTTAGCATCCTAGAGCTTCACAGTTGTTCTCAATGTGGCCCAGAGTTTTTGCTTTTGTTTGTATCTGTATCATTAAATTTGTGCGTGATCTAGTGTTTTGCGTGTCTCCGCCCATTCAACAAGTACGATTGATGTTAGTATTAGCTAGTTTCGATAAACTTTGAAAGTTCACAGCTCGCTTTAATGCACCTATCAATGTAAACCCCGTGGGGGGGGAGTGCGGGCAAGGGGAGGGGATTTGATGCCTGGGACTATCCCCGCTGTGGGGCTTTTGATCGTGTGAAGCGACCCCGGGGTCGGGACATTTGACTTTGACCGAGAGAAGCCTGGTATCAATTCAGAAGCAGTTTCCAAGTCCGTCCCTCGAGGCTTCCTGAAAGTCACGTTGTTGGAGAAAGGTATGAAGTTTTCATTTGTTTTAATCGCCATAATCCGATACTTTAAACTGTCATCGAAACAGATAATGTCTATTTTGAGGAAGTTTTTATCTTCAAGTTCCCATCTGA